TTCCTTCGTCTGTCTGTAATGACATCGCCCTCTGTCTCTTTCTACATCCCTTCATTCTTTTCCTCCCTCTCCCTGTGTAATCATCCACCTCGTCGCTTCTCTCCTTCAGCCTCCCCCTCTCCGTCCCGTCCTCCTGCTCCTCTTCCTCGCGTCGTTGTCAGGGAAACAGCGCGCCATTCCGTAGCCGTTGATCTGGTGACATTGTCTTTCTATTACTGGGGGGTCAGATGCCTGATAAGGAGGACAAAGGGTGGGAAACCAAAGCACGACTCAGTTTAAAGGTGTGTAAAGCGTCTTCATTAAGAAGGAGACTAAATAACTACTGTGGTAAAACAAACTGCACAGATGTGAACAAGCTCTGATCCAGAACAGTAGACCTGCAATAAAAGTCCTAATGTTCCGTTTGTGTGGACGCCATCTGATAAGAGTTGATTCAATCTAAACGGACTACATTTAACGTCACACCTTGATTTGTGTCCTGCTGAGAGGAATGAGTTCTGTGAGGTCACCGCCGCCACTCTTCCTTTCGCAGACAATGAACAGAGGAGCAACATAGATACGGAGGATCCTCTATGGTGACAGCGACCTGTCAATCACAGTAAGCCCGCCCTAAAGCAAACTGCGCTCTATTTGACTAAATGGACCATAACTTACTAAAGGAACATCACGCTGAAGAGGAGGCCTGATTCTTAAATCCTGGTTTTCGTACGGAATACTCACCTATTTGGAAGGAATGCGCTACGTTACCTTGTGCTGCTTTACACTGCGTTCCGTTGTAATAACTCACCTTGGTGCTGTGCTTGGTTCACTATGATTACACACGGAACCGACAAGCTTTACAATGTCTCATTTAAAGCCAAGAGGCAAAGTTCAAAGGAGTGAAAATCACCAAGTTGAGAGTAGAAGGAATAACAGGTATTTCTGTCAGGCCACACGGATAAAGTGAATAAACAGGAGTATTAGTTACTTGCCCCTTTGTGGCCGCGTGTTTCTGCGTCTTGTCGACGCACTGGTTTCACTTCCTGGTTGTAAAGTCCTGCGTGTGTTGCAGAGCGATTCACCTCCAGAACAACAGGTGGAGTCACGTGTTTTGTTGAAGACGACCTAGAGAGTCACGTCTTTGTGTGTGGAAGTCGCTGGTTGCTTTATTTATTGATCATAGACTTTATTGCCCCGTGCATCCACACTGCTGCTTTTCATCACGGACACATTTGTCCCGTATTTTCCTCCACGACTTTGTTCCCCTCGTTGGTGGAGATCTCCCTCCATGAATCAGAGGCCATCCGGCGTCCTCATAGTCCGCCAATGACGGCTTGTACAAGCGCTCATATTTAAAAGCTCTTCAATCTGATCCGTTCTTGTTTTAATAACGGCCGTATTGTGCTGTGAAAACGGAGATGTGAGACTCCGTAAAGGACGTAGTCAGCAGACCAATCACAGCCTGCTGCTGCAGGAGGCTGCGTCGCTTTAGACGCTAGTCTACAAAAATGGGACGACGCACGTAAGGAGGTGTGAAAAGACACGCGAGGGACACGCGAGGGACACGCGAGCGACACGCAAAGGGGTCTTCGCTCTGAAAATGCAGAAGCATAAACTAGGCTTTAGTTAGCATGCATGCCCAGATCTTCCCTTTGCTTCCTCCTTTCTATCCTGCGGTTTATTTTACATCAAGCTTTTTAATTATTGTTTATTCTTTTTCTCCCTCCTCATCTATCATCCCTCCTGTACTTTTTTATCCCACATGTTCTATACTTCGCCTCTCTGACAGCCTCCTGATTCATTCCTTTGTCTGAAATCTTTCCCAGTCCTTCGTACTTCCCAGTTTACCTCTAATGCTTCCTTTGTATTCAGCTTCCCTCTTTCCTTCTTCTTGCTCTGTTCCTTTCCTATAATGTATCCTTTTCTTTAGCACTTGCTCCCTCTGTGCAGAAATCAATGGTTGTTCTCTCAATAGGAGGTCACAGGGGTCACGGTTGCTGGCGTTCTGGCTTTTCAATTACTAGCAGCCTGCAGTCACCACAACCCGCACACACACGCACACGCATACACACACGCACGCACACGCACACACACACACACACACACACACACACACCTGAAGAGCCCCTCCCCCGTTGAGCTGACGGGCCACCAGGCCGAGCGGAGGATCAGTGTGGATGTTGGAAGTCAGAATACAGAAGAGGAGGAGGAGGTGAGACAGGACAGGTAGGACGTCAGCAGAGGACGTCTCCCTCAGTCCGGCCTCGTAGGTCATTGTGTTGTCTTCTAAACTCATCTGCAGGTCCTCGTTTACAACAGTGTTCACGTTATTAACCAAATACTCCGATGCTCCGATGAGAAAAAAATATTCAGGTGGTGCGTTCAGGCGCTGGTCAATAAAATGAGCGGCGTGCGATTGGTCCCCTATCGCTGCAGCACACAGGCTGCACACTCAGCCTCCAACGCAAAGATGTCCGCTTGCAGCTAACAGCGTCCACAAGCGACAACGTGGCCCTGTGACCTGTGACCCTGTGACCTGTATCTGCGGCCCTGTGACCTGCGACCTGTATCCGGGGCCCGGGGACCTGTGACCCTGTATCCGAGGACCCTGTGCTCTGTGACCTGTATCCTGTGACCTGTGACCTGTGACCTGTATCCGGGACCTGTGACCTGTGACCTGTATCCGCTGCCCTGTGACCTGTGACCTGTATCCGGGGCCCTGTGACCTGTATCCGCGGACCTGTGACCTGTGACCTGTATCCGCTGCCCTGTGACCTGTGACCTGTATCCGAGGACCTGTGACCTGTGACCTGTATCCGTGGCCCTGTGACCTTTAACCTGTATCTGCGGACCTGTGACCTGTGACCTGTATCCGCTGCCCTGTGACCTGTATCCGTGGCCCTGTGACCTGTATCCGTGGCCCTGTGACCTGTGACCTGTATCCGTGGCCCTGTGACCTTCGACCTGTATCCGCGGCCCTGTGACCTGTGACCTGTATCCGCGGCCCTGTGACCTGTATCCGCGGCCCTGTGACCTGTGACCTGTATCCGCGGCCCTGTGACCTGTGACCTGTATCCGCGGCCCTGTGACCTGTGACCTGTATCCGCGGCCCTGTGACCTGTATCCGTGGCCCTGTGACCTTCGACCTGTATCCGCGGCCCTGTGACCTGTGACCTGTATCTGCGGCCCTGTGACCTGTGACCTGTTCCGCGGTAACGGCTGTGAGAGCTTTGTGTGAGCAGAGGGGCGCACGGCGCTCCGCTTCATTGGACGGGTACTGAACGAAGTGCTCGTAAGCTGGTAGTCAACATGAGGGGCGGAGCCAGCGATTGATTAGCGCCCTGCATGCATTTTTTAAGCCAGAATTCCCTGACATCTGAAAAACATGATTTAAGGAAAAACACCTTTTTATTAAGAGCATAAATGCCATAACCATATTCTTTAATCCTTTATGACACCCCTGACAAGGCCGGGAGACCAGTAGTAGGGGTGAGAAAATGTGATGGGATCAAAGGACATATAAACAGAATACAGAAAGTTATGTAGGGATTGTAGGAAAGGTGAGATAGAATAATTATGTAGGAGACTATTGGAGGGGAGACCAAG